TTCTAAACACAGGACACACATATATACATGTGGTGGTGTGTGAGTGTGTATATATATATGTGTATGTATATATATATATATGATATTATTATGCATGCATATATTATGTACTATGTGTACTTGGGATTATTTATTAATTAATGTTGATATGTTTAATTCTTTTTCCCAAATCTTAACTAGCAGTTAAGATTCCACTGTGTGAACACAGAACAGTTTGTTTTTCCATGTCTTATTCAGTTGTCTCTCTGGCTACTGCTTTATATTTATGACAAATATACATTCTAGAGTCATGCACAGGAGTACCACCATGTCCATGTCATGCTTAAGGGAAAGCAGATGAGGAATAAAGGGGATACTGGGCAGGCGAATCCTGTAATGTAATATCTTTAACTATTTTACAAAAATACCCGGAAGGGAAATAGCTTGTGAAATAGAATTTCTATTTATCATAAACAAGTACAAGAAAAGAGAAGAGCATTTGGAAATGGATGGAGGAGGAAGAAAGGACAGGCAAAGCGTTGAACAAAGGAAAAAAGATGTGTTATGTAGATGTGCCAATTCCCCATTAGAAATGTAAATGTTATGTACTAGTAAGAAAAAATAATAAAATAATAAAAACAAAGACCATGAGCTGAAATTAGTTTTACAGGTATAATTGGCACAATTACAAAATTACCCTAAGCTAAGTGGTAAGCAAATATCTATATTTCATGAGATTTATTAGATTCCAACCTATGCTTCCGAGCTCATTAGTACTCATTTGCAAAACTTCTCCAATTAAAAGTTATATACTTTCATTCTAGTAATTTGACTGAAAATATATTCAATCTTTCTGTACAAATTTTTGAAGTATAATTTTCAAAAGTATTGAAAATCAACTTTAAGAAGACAGTGTCAGAATGTCTTCCATTAACATCTTACCTCATTAATTTTAAAACACATGAAAGATAAGGCATTTAAAACAGATAAAATATACAAAACCAACATTAGATTATAAGATAAAGATTTTTTCCAAGTAGAATGCCAAAAAAAGAGTAGATGCAAATATAAAATATGATTGTGCAGGTAACAAGAAAAGACCTGAAATATATTTTGTTGACTTTGCAGATGTCAGAGTGCTCTGGTTTTCATTCCCAGAAGGCAGAAACTATTTATTTATTCCACGTAATAAGCAAACAAGATTTGTGAGTGCAAAGGGCAGAAAAGGAGCTTAGTTGAGAAATATGGGAGAGCTCAAGAGTTGAGTTGCCAAACCCATGACTGTGGCTTAGAATAGCTAAAATTTCAGAAAAATGTCCAAGAAAGAAATAGTGGGGCTAAAAAACTTTGCTTGTCATATGGATGCCTAAATAAGAAAAGATTAGCATAAAAAAGGAATAAAGAAAAATACTTTGGCTCCTGAAAAAAAATTCAAAAAATGAAAATCAGCCCAGATGAAGACATGTGTCTGTAATTCAGTTACTTGTGAGATAATCGTATGTTGGAGGACAGCCTAGGAAACTTAGTGAGGCATTGTCTCAACAGCAAAATGTGAAAAAATAAAATGAAAATCCATCAATGAATATGGTACAATGGGATATTTTATTCTGTGAAATTTGACTTTTATTTGTTTTATTGTTTTGCCAGTTTTATTTTTTGTTTTTAAAGGATATAATTTTTATTAGTTTAACTAGTACTATAGAATAGTTATATTTATTATGGGGAAGTGGTACATGAATAAAACATATATTAATTATTTAAACATCTTTTTTCTCTTCCTTACCTTGCCAGTGGGTTGATACCATTCCCCATTTTCAACAGTCTACCTTCTAGTTTCCTATCATCTCTCATTTATTTCACTCATTTATGAACTAATGTTTTGTTTCTCAGATAAGAGAAAACACTGTGATTAACTTTCTGATTCTGTCTTATTCTGTTTACCTTGATGGATCTACTTCCATTCATTTTCCTATAAATAATATTGATTCATTCTTCCTTAAGACTAAATTATATTCATGTATATCATGCTTGCTTTATTCTTCTGTTCATGGGCATCTAGGCTGCTTCCATTCTCAGCTATTATGAATTCTATTGCTATAAAATGATTATGCAAGTACCGTTATAATAGGTTGACTTTAATGCTTCTAGATGAACCCGGGGGTTGTATAGCTACATCAAATGATATTTCTATTACATTCCACAAACAATGTATAAGGGTTCCTTCTTTCCTCCACATCCTCATCAGCATTAGTTGCTGTGCGTATTCTTGATGATATACATTGTGGATGGGATGAGATGTTATCTTAATGTAATTTTGCTTTTCATTGCCCAAATGGCCAAATCTGTTGAACACTTTTTATACTTATTCGTTATTTGTAGTCATTCTTTTGAGAAGTGTCTATTCAGCTAACATGACCTGTTTTGATTGAGGTATTTGTCTTTTGGGGGTTACTTTTTTGGGGTTGTTTATGTAGTCTAGATGTTAGTCCTCTACCAACACAGTATGAAGCAAAGAGTTTACCTATTGTCTAGGTTGTCCTTTCATCCTGTTAATTCTTTATGTTTCTATCATAAACATTT